ATTATTTTAAGACAAGAACCTTACGCTGAGGTCAAACGTCAAATGTCATAGTTTCACCCGTTTTATGCTAAAACGTGTTATTAAAGTGCATATAAATATGAATATTCTGAATATTTTAAGACCAAAATAAAGTTTCAATGATCTACCATTGTTGAGATACTGTACAAACCACGCTGAAATGAAGTCAAAGGTTAAAAGTCATAGTTGCAGTCATTTCATGCTAAAAACTGAGGTTTCATTAGAGTGTATATATATATTCTGGATAAATTGACACCAAAATTATATCTCTAGGATCAATAGTTACTAAGAACTGCCAAATACATGAACAATTGGCGGCCATTTTTGTTTTATGCAAATTAGCAAATTAGCATAGTTGCAGTCATTTTATGCTAAAAGGTTTCATGAAAGTGATAAATATACATAGACTGAGTAAACTGACACCAAAATTATATCTCTAGGATCAATAGTTACCAAGAACAGCCAAATACATGACAAACTGGCGGCCATTTTTGTTTTATGCAAATTAGCATGGTTTCAGTCATTTTATGCTAAAAGGTTTCATTAGAGTGTATATAAATATACATATTCTGAGTAAATTGACACCAAAATTATATCTCTAGGATAAATAGTTACCAAGAACTGCCAAATACAAGACAAATTGGCGGCCATTTTTGTTTTATGCAAATTAGCATATTTCCCATGCTTCCTTTTTTCTACTTTTTTGATATGTTGTTCGGGACAGATTTTAGAGATAGTTAGAGCAACAAAAGTCTGTGTTGCAATTTTGTCTAGGTACACCCATATTGTTTCATAGATTGACTGGACTAATACCCCTACAATACGACAACAACCAGCGCATACAAAGATATGGCGCGACAGAGGGTGAGGTTTGTAATCTGAGATTATCTATTATTTGTGCATCTTATACATTTTTTTTTCATATTTCATTATTTATAAGATTTTTTTTTATTGGGAAAGCAGTTAAAAAACATAAAGTCTATATCTTACTTCTCAACCCCATCAGCCAAATGAGGCCTTGCATAGGCCTCAAGTAGTAAGCCCATTAGTCGGGCTTTTAAGCATTTCGGGCTGCCTCTGGTCCACTGGCCAGAATTTGACACATGGTTGGTACGCTGGAGTCAGTCCGCGGTCTGCTCGAGTTGGCTCTGTCAGTTGCTAAAAAACTATATAAATAAATAACATTCTAAAATCTACATCCTACTTCTTATGAGCACCAAAATCGAGGAGGACCAAGATGCATGTAATATTGTCAATGTGTGAAAGTTTGATGTTTCAAGTTTATATCTTTATAGAGGGCCCCTGAATACTCCTGTCTCTTATACACATCTAGGTGTGTATAAGAGACAGGATCAATTGTATAAATTCGCCGGTGTTGCCTCTAGAAGACATACTGTAGACTTATAAATAATACTATTAACTACTGGCAAATACTACAGTACTGTATTTGTTTGCGTCAAATCAATGGAATACTCACCATAAAATTTGCTCTCTGTTCATCGCATTCATTAAGTTCATAAATGGGATCAGCCTCTTGACAATTAGGCCTATTACATGAGTCTTTTTTAAACTTTCCAAATTCTATTATTTTTGAAGATAATTACAATATTAAAATTACTTTCAATGCCATTTTCACAATTATCTCTTGGCATATAACGTACACATAGATTGATTGACTATTACGAGGGTTTTTTCGTTTTGGTTCGTTTTACGTAGGTGACGAATCGATGAATGTGCACAATACGTTAATGAACTACATAAAAAGACCAGAGTGCACGCCGGACACGCCTGAACCAATAAATGACGGCTTTTGGTACAAGAATACTTGGCACTCGTTCGCGTGTCAAAGCAGATCCTGGTCTAGAAAGCAGATACGCACATGTATAACCAGTGGCGTAGAAAAATATTTTTCATTGGGGGGGGGATGATTGGCGTGTTAGCCAGTGTCGTAACAGGCGCGGGGATGGGGGGCAGGGGGAAAACTGCCCCTCCCCTGACGTTTTTTACCAGGCTGACCAAGCCGTCGTACCGGGCTGGGTAATAAGAGAAAAGAAAGAGGGGAGAGGGAGGGAAAGAGAAAGAAGAGGAAAAAAAAGGAAAGAAAAGGAGATTGAAGAGAAAAATAAAGACAAGAATAAAAAGGAAGATATCATAATGACCAGACTCACAACACCCTGCAACCCCTTCTCCACTTCAAAAAATTTCATAACTCCTTTGATCTATGCTGCCCGATGGGGTAACCACTGGGAGACAAGGGGAAAATATCTATCTTTGAAAAATCTTCCCCACCCCTTTATAAATGCCATTTCATCCCCTGAAAGTGCCTAAAAACCTCAAATTTCGCTCGCATTTCTTGTTAACATGGGCCAATTTCCTCTAAAAATTGCACATTTTAGGGAG